CGAGTACGCTGCACATGCTGCACCTGTTCCTGAACCATCTCCAACTCCAACTCCAACTCCTAACGAATAAATATTATGGCATTTCCTCAGTTATTTAGTACAAAAGTCGCTGCGTCTAATCGCAGCAAGTTGACCTCTCATGTCAGCATATCACTACTTCCGATTTTGGTGTTATGCAGGCAAGTTATTGCAATCAGGTCGTCCCAGGTGACACCCTTTGATATTCGCCAACAGTCGTTCTGCCGTCTCGCTCCATTGGCATTCCCTACATTCGGTCGTGCTGATGTTGAGTCACGTGCTTTCTATGTACCTTATCGTATCGTTTGGGCAGGTACAGAATCATTCTTCACAGGCAAGCCTTATACTGATGAGAACGGTATTTCTCACAATCTTGAACGAGTTCCTCATCTTACGAATGAACAGTTCATGACTATTTTCAGTGACCCTGCTTATGGATTCTGTTCTGTCGCTACTTCCGAAGGCTTTGATTTCGCTCTCCGTCGTGGTGATGGTTCAACTGACTTTTTTTATTGGACATCAAAAGGACGTCGTTTCTACAACCTCTTGATACAACTCGGTTATGCCTTTAACTTTAATACAGCGGATAAAACTCCTCTTTCACTTCTGCCTTACCTCTGCTGGTCACGTATTATCGTTGATTGGTATCTTAACCCACGTTTTGATTACCTCCATACACTCGAATCCATCTTCAAGAAGTTCGATTCTATGTCGGGTTCTTGGTCAATTATTGATGTCATTACCCTCTTCGATTACAACTATAAGTTGTACGATTCCGATTACTTCAACAGTTCATGGCAATATCCTAATGATTCAGGTAGCGTAAATCGTAATGAGAACATTGTTGTTGTTGGTAATGGTGGCTCAGGTCGTACATTCCAAGTAAGTAATAACAACCAGTCAACTCTTCTCCATCGTGGTGATTCTAATGGTGCACTTTATGACTTATCTGCTGCTTCTATCGCTCTTCTTCAGTCACTTCAGCGATTTGTCACACGCAACAATCTCGTAGGTACACGCTATATTGATCAAATGCTTGCCCGTTTCGGTGTCCGTCTCACCGATGCCGTTGTACAGCGTTCACAGTACATCGGTAGTCCTCTCTTCTCCTGTACAGATTTCCGATGTCATGACTACCGCAAACACAGATTCAGGTTCTACCGGTGATTTCACAGGTAAAGGAGTTTCGTTCGGCAATGGTCACTACCACATTGAGAGCAAGGAATACGGTATGGTTATCGTTTGTGACTACTATTGTACCAAAAGCAGGCTATTATCAGGGTCGCAAACGTTTTGTAACTTACAAAAACCGACTTGATTTCTATACTCCGGAATTCGACTGTATGAATATGCAGGCTATTCGTAATGATGAACTCTTTGCAGATTTCACCGATGGTCGTACATACGCTGCAGCACAATCTTATGGTGGTCGTCCTGATGGTATCTTTGGCTATGTACCTCGTTATTCGGATTGCAAGATTGCTCTCGATACCCTCTCGGGTGATTTCCGTATTAAGTCACGCAATGCTCAGTTGTCAGCATTCCATCTCCTGCGAGTTCTTGACGAGCCATCATCTTCACACCCTCTCGCTAATAACAGTAACTTCGGTATGCTAACCAATTCCGAGCGAGCAAACTATGACCGTATCTTCCAAGCAGGTATTGGAACTGATGAGACTCAGTATGACCATTTCTACCTTATCCATGATTTTAACGTGACTGCACATCGCAACATGAAGTCACTTAGTGAAGCCTACGAGGACGAGCATGAGAAAGGTCGTGATGTTTCGGTACGTCCAAACGGTGTTAAATTCTAATGTTTAATTTGGGCAGAGTTTTTCTGCCCTTTATTTTTAATACTATGTCTATAAAATCCGGTACATCATACGCTGCGGATAGAGAGTATGAAGGCAATAAAGAGACGAATTCTACTAATGTCTCGATTAATGAAGATAACAATAAAGCCAATCGAGAGTTAGCGGAGTATCAAAATCAATGGAATCTCGAGCAATGGAATCGTGAAAATCAATATAATTCCCCTGCTAATCAACTTCGTTTATTACGTCAGGCAGGTATGAATCCTTTATTTGTCGATTCAAAGTTATCTCAGGCTCAACAGTTATCTTCTGCTGACCTCGCTAATCAGCAGGCTATTCAAATTGACAATCCCGCCAAAGGTCAAGGACAATTAGCCGTTGGTGCTGATGCAAACAAGGTTGCAGCGGTTACTAATGCTCTTAATCAAATCAGTTCAACTGCACAGAACCTCTCAAGCAATGCTGCGTCTATCTATGCTACCAATATGCAGTATGAGACAAATAAGGCTGCTCAAGGTATTCAGGGTCGTTTGGTAGATAGTCAAATTCAGGCTCAAAGATATAATAATCTTCGTGCTCTTGCTGATACTAAAAAGACCCTTGGAGATGATAAACGTGCAGATTCTCTCTTGCCTTATCAAGCCGAGGCTCTTGACGCACAGAGCAAGCAGCAATATGCTGCAGCAGATAATTCTAATATCAATACTGAGGTAATAAAGCAGTCTTTTGGCGCTTTGGTTGCTAAACCTGCCGCAGAAGTTAAGGAGATTCTCTCTCGCATTAGAGTAAACCTTGCTGATTCTCGGAATAAGGAATGGGACGCAGGTATTAAAGAAAATTATGGCTTTGATCCAAAATCTTCTTCTCTCCTGCAAGCAATCGCTACAATGGCTGCTACTAACCCCCAAACTGGTGCAAGTTCCTGCATTGATAATATCATTCAAACTATTGACAACTCTGGTCACAAGTTCTTTGGTGAGGAAGAGTTTGAAAAGATGAAACAGGACATCGGTAATATCATCAACAATCCTATTTCAACCCTTATAGGTGGTGCAAAATCCTTCGACATTGGTACAGGTGGAATCATAAGATAAACCACCGTTATGCTTTGCTCGGTGGCTACCCAACTTGATATTTATGTACGAGTGACACAGGTCACCCTTTATGGCGCAAGCGGTAAGAGATTAAACGTTCTCTCTCGCTTGCGTCTTATTATCCCTCTAGGCAACCGCTATGGAGCGTAGGACAATATTATAATAACATATAAAGTAAATTAAAACTCTATATATAGTACATATATATAAAAATAAAACACCTCTTATCCCCCCAAACACCACATACCACATACACTACAAGTATCATACTATTACGCTGCGTGCGCGTGCGTTACGCGCGTGCGCGTATCGTATCAAGAGAGCACTCTTCTCGTTGTATCGGCGTGAGTAAACGTAATACAAATCGTAGTGCCTTAATCGTGGTTACTTCTTACGGACAGAGACAGAATCACGTTCGCAACGGAGTGAGAACATGATTCCGAACTGTCCTAAAACTACACATTGCGCTAGCCCTGTAACTTCCACGCTCCTAAGTTGCCTGAAAACGCTGCGTGCAACCCTCGAAGCAGTGGTATCAACGCAGAGTACTCATTATACATATATAAAAAATATACTGAATAAGTCAAAATAGTATAAAAGTGCATTGTAAATGGAACGACATAACGTATCGCTGCATTTTTTATACGAAAAAATTTTGACATAACAGCTATTATTGTTATTTTTGCGCCCAAAATTTATAAAATGAAACCTCATTACAAAGATATGTTCACCCTCCGATGGTCAAATTATCGGTGCATTCAGTATTCAGCAGGCATTATATCAGATATATGACAAGTATGTTAGTGATGATGTTCTCGCCCAAAATGGCTTAGTGCTCTTCGACTACGACCAAGAATTCCCATTTTAATATGATTACAAAAGAAAATTACCCTCCACCGTCTAGAAATGAATTCTCTTGAAACCGTTGGTTACATCGAGCATGACGGTCTTTTCCTTGCATTTACTCTTGAACCAAGCAAGGACAACAAAAAACCACCCTTGTATCCCTTTCGGTACATTTAATATCATGCGTGAATATCCATCTTCTAAATTCGGTATGGTACCTGCTTTGATGAAAGTTCCTTATCGTACCTGGCATACTTATCCACTCTGGGAATGTTGCGTCTCAGTCTCAAGGCTGCATATTAGTCGGTGATGATATAGAAAATAGTCCTCGTGGCTGCCATTTTATCACCATTCCAAAGTTACACTTTCTATGTTACGTAGGTATCTTAATGCTAACAGTATTGATACTATCCATGTTGTTGATGATCACCCTCCATAGGTCTAAAAGAGTTCTATTATAAATAATGTGTTATCGTCCCCTACATCTTCGCAATCCTAAATTTGATTTCGATAAACGAGTTGATAAGGAATTTATTGATGTTCCTTGCGGCAAATGTTGTCAATGCCGTAACAGAGCAGTCAATGATTTAGTTATACGTTGTAATGATGAGCGTATCTACTGCGAATCAAAAGGCGGTGGAATGCTCTTCCTCACTCTTACCTATAATAATAAGTCCATTCCTACTATTGACGGTCAATATGGTTTCTCCCTTAAAGATATTCAAAATTTCAAAAAACGAGTTGCAATTCATATTTCACGTAGATTAGGTATTGAGTACAATAAAGATAGATATATTAAGTTCTTCTGCGTGTGCGAGTATGGGTGGTATCACTCACCGTCCTCACTATCATTTATTAGTTTTCTGGTCTTTCCCTTTGGCTGACTGGAAGATTAAGTATATCATACATCAAGACTGGAAGTTCGGTTTTATCTCGTTCGGTTCTCATGGAGGAAAGGTTCTTAACTCATTCGCTGCAACTAAATATGTATGTAAGTATATTCGTAAAGACGCTCAGTCTATAGATGATGAAAATAAACTTCCTGTATCTATTCGCCCTTTCTCACCTCTTATCTCCAATGGTATAGGCTTTCACGTTTATAAGGATTTGAGCGAAAATGATATATTAGATCTCTTCCGCAAAGGTTCTGTTACTCTCTTGGACGCTGCAGGTAACCCTAAAGTATTTCCTATTCCTACGTATTACAGGCGTAAACTACTCTACGATGTTTCCCGTATCTACTCCGTTGATAGTTCTCAGTTCGCAGACACAGAGGCAATTAGACGGTGTAAACCGATTTTACTATGATGTTCAGTCTATGCAGTTGCAAGAGTTCTCTCAGGAGTACAAGGATTTCATTTCCTCCGCTAAACTCTATGATATTAAAACCAATTTTCGCCTTATTCCGAAAAAGATATACTATAATGTCCGTTATGAGGAGTATCTTAATGCAGTTAAGTACACTCGTGACGCTCTTATTAACATATTGTCTAACTTCAAAAACATTATTACTGATGACAAAATTTCTCAAATTGCTGCGGTTACTCATAGAAATTATCCCGCTGCTCATGTCCTTTTTCAATCTCTGCAAGCCGAGTTCAGGTGCGACAACTTCACCCGAGCCAGTGAGTACATCGGATTCTACCGATGCCGATTCATTCCCTATACCCTCTTAGCACATGATAACAATTTCCATGCTGCCACTGTTCATGCATCTGATTACTCGGAAAATGAACTACAGTTCGTCGGTATTAACTATACCCTTGAGTATTGCTATCACGCTCTATATCTCTATAACTACTTCGTTGGTATGATAGCCGAAACCGACTATCAGTCTTATAAAAATTTAGTTTATCACTTAAAGTATTATGATAATGACTACTCGTTCTAAGTCTCTATTTAGCAAAATTGCTCCTGATGTTGTACATTACGAGCATGATGAGTTTAAACCCTCCGTTCGTCTCCGTTCTCTTCCTGATGGTAAGGTTGAGAAGATTCTTGAAGATGAAATTGTAATTCCGCAGGATATTTCTGCCGATTCCCTCTCTGTTGAATCTCTCAACCAAGCAGGAGTTAACCTCGTTGAAGTTCCTTCAAACTTCATAAATCCTACCGTCGAGCAGCAGACTGCAAACGGTCTAACGATTGTTAATCAAATTGTAAATTCCGAGTACGCTGCACATGCTGCACCTGTTCCTGAACCATCTCCAACTCCAACTCCAACTCCTAACGAATAAATATTATGGCATTTCCTCAGTTATTTAGTACAAAAGTCGCTGCGTCTAATCGCAGCAAGTTTGACCTCTCATGTCAGCATATCACTACTTCCGATTTTGGTGTTATGCAGGCAAGTTATTGCAATCAGGTCGTCCCAGGTGACACCTTTGATATTCGCCAACAGTCGTTCTGCCGTCTCGCTCCATTGGCATTCCCTACATTCGGTCGTGCTGATGTTGAGTCACGTGCTTTCTATGTACCTTATCGTATCGTTTGGGCAGGTACAGAATCATTCTTCACAGGCAAGCCTTATACTGATGAGAACGGTATTTCTCACAATCTTGAACGAGTTCCTCATCTTACGAATGAACAGTTCATGACTATTTTCAGTGACCCTGCTTATGGATTCTGTTCTGTCGCTACTTCCGAAGGCTTTGATTTCGCTCTCCGTCGTGGTGATGGTTCAACTGACTTTTTTTATTGGACATCAAAAGGACGTCGTTTCTACAACCTCTTGATACAACTCGGTTATGCCTTTAACTTTAATACAGCGGATAAAACTCCTCTTTCACTTCTGCCTTACCTCTGCTGGTCACGTATTATCGTTGATTGGTATCTTAACCCACGTTTTGATTACCTCCATACACTCGAATCCATCTTCAAGAAGTTCGATTCTATGTCGGGTTCTTGGTCAATTATTGATGTCATTACCCTCTTCGATTACAACTATAAGTTGTACGATTCCGATTACTTCAACAGTTCATGGCAATATCCTAATGATTCAGGTAGCGTAAATCGTAATGAGAACATTGTTGTTGTTGGTAATGGTGGCTCAGGTCGTACATTCCAAGTAAGTAATAACAACCAGTCAACTCTTCTCCATCGTGGTGATTCTAATGGTGCACTTTATGACTTATCTGCTGCTTCTATCGCTCTTCTTCAGTCACTTCAGCGATTTGTCACACGCAACAATCTCGTAGGTACACGCTATATTGATCAAATGCTTGCCCGTTTCGGTGTCCGTCTCACCGATGCCGTTGTACAGCGTTCACAGTACATCGGTAGTCTCTCTTCTCCTGTACAGATTTCCGATGTCATGACTACCGCAAACACAGATTCAGGTTCTACCGGTGATTTCACAGGTAAAGGAGTTTCGTTCGGCAATGGTCACTACCACATTGAGAGCAAGGAATACGGTATGGTTATCGTTGTGACTACTATTGTACCAAAAGCAGGCTATTATCAGGGTCGCAAACGTTTTGTAACTTACAAAAACCGACTTGATTTCTATACTCCGGAATTCGACTGTATGAATATGCAGGCTATTCGTAATGATGAACTCTTTGCAGATTTCACCGATGGTCGTACATACGCTGCAGCACAATCTTATGGTGGTCGTCCTGATGGTATCTTTGGCTATGTACCTCGTTATTCGGATTGCAAGATTGCTCTCGATACCCTCTCGGGTGATTTCCGTATTAAGTCACGCAATGCTCAGTTGTCAGCATTCCATCTCCTGCGAGTTCTTGACGAGCCATCATCTTCACACCCTCTCGCTAATAACAGTAACTTCGGTATGCTAACCAATTCCGAGCGAGCAAACTATGACCGTATCTTCCAAGCAGGTATTGGAACTGATGAGACTCAGTATGACCATTTCTACCTTATCCATGATTTTAACGTGACTGCACATCGCAACATGAAGTCACTTAGTGAAGCCTACGAGGACGAGCATGAGAAAGGTCGTGATGTTTCGGTACGTCCAAACGGTGTTAAATTCTAATGTTTAATTTGGGCAGAGTTTTTCTGCCCTTTATTTTTAATACTATGTCTATAAAATCCGGTACATCATACGCTGCGGATAGAGAGTATGAAGGCAATAAAGAGACGAATTCTACTAATGTCTCGATTAATGAAGATAACAATAAAGCCAATCGAGAGTTAGCGGAGTATCAAAATCAATGGAATCTCGAGCAATGGAATCGTGAAAATCAATATAATTCCCCTGCTAATCAACTTCGTTTATTACGTCAGGCAGGTATGAATCCTTTATTTGTCGATTCAAAGTTATCTCAGGCTCAACAGTTATCTTCTGCTGACCTCGCTAATCAGCAGGCTATTCAAATTGACAATCCCGCCAAAGGTCAAGGACAATTAGCCGTTGGTGCTGATGCAAACAAGGTTGCAGCGGTTACTAATGCTCTTAATCAAATCAGTTCAACTGCACAGAACCTCTCAAGCAATGCTGCGTCTATCTATGCTACCAATATGCAGTATGAGACAAATAAGGCTGCTCAAGGTATTCAGGGTCGTTTGGTAGATAGTCAAATTCAGGCTCAAAGATATAATAATCTTCGTGCTCTTGCTGATACTAAAAAGACCCTTGGAGATGATAAACGTGCAGATTCTCTCTTGCCTTATCAAGCCGAGGCTCTTGACGCACAGAGCAAGCAGCAATATGCTGCAGCAGATAATTCTAATATCAATACTGAGGTAATAAAGCAGTCTTTTGGCGCTTTGGTTGCTAAACCTGCCGCAGAAGTTAAGGAGATTCTCTCTCGCATTAGAGTAAACCTTGCTGATTCTCGGAATAAGGAATGGGACGCAGGTATTAAAGAAAATTATGGCTTTGATCCAAAATCTTCTTCTCTCCTGCAAGCAATCGCTACAATGGCTGCTACTAACCCAACTGGTGCAAGTTCCTGCATTGATAATATCATTCAAACTATTGACAACTCTGGTCACAAGTTCTTTGGTGAGGAAGAGTTTGAAAAGATGAAACAGGACATCGGTAATATCATCAACAATCCTATTTCAACCCTTATAGGTGGTGCAAAATCCTTCGACATTGGTACAGGTGGAATCATAAGATAAACCACCGTTATGCTTTGCTCGGTGGCTACCCAACTTGATATTTATGTACGAGTGACACAGGTCACCCTTTATGGCGCAAGCGGTAAGAGATTAAACGTTCTCTCTCGCTTGCGTCTTATTATCCCTCTAGGCAACCGCTATGGAGCGTAGGACAATATTATAATAACATATAAAGTAAATTAAAACTCTATATATAGTACATATATATAAAAATAAAACACCTCTTATCCCCCCAAACACCACATACCACATACACTACAAGTATCATACTATTACGCTGCGTGCGCGTGCGTTACGCGCGTGCGCGTATCGTATCAAGAGAGCACTCTTCTCGTTGTATCGGCGTGAGTAAACGTAATACAAATCGTAGTGCCTTAATCGTGGTTACTTCTTACGGACAGAGACAGAATCACGTTCGCAACGGAGTGAGAACATGATTCCGAACTGTCCTAAAACTACACATTGCGCTAGCCCTGTAACTTCCACGCTCCTAAGTTGCCTGAAAACGCTGCGTGCAACCCTCGCCCCCCCCGAGGTGCTGCACATATATTCACATTATACATATATAAAAATATACTGAATAAGTCAAAATAGTATAAAAGTGCATTGTAAATGGAACGACATAACGTATCGCTGCATTTTTTATACGAAAAAATTTTGACATAACAGCTATTATTGTTATTTTTGCGCCCAAAATTTATAAAATGAAACCTCATTACAAAAGATATGTTACCTCCGATGGTCAAATTATCGGTGCATTCAGTATTCAGCAGGCATTATATCAGATATATGACAAGTATGTTAGTGATGATGTTCTCGCCCAAAATGGCTTAGTGCTCTTCGACTACGACCAAGAATTCCCATTTTAATATGATTACAAAAGAAATTACCCTCCACCGTCTAGAAATGAATTCTCTTGAAACCGTTGGTTACATCGAGCATGACGGTCTTTTCCTTGCATTTACTCTTGAACCAAGCAAGGACAACAAAAAACACCCTTGTATCCCTTTCGGTACATTTAATATCATGCGTGAATATCCATCTTCTAAATTCGGTATGGTACCTGCTTTGATGAAAGTTCCTTATCGTACTGGCATACTTATCCACTCTGGGAATGTTGCGTCTCAGTCTCAAGGCTGCATATTAGTCGGTGATGATATAGAAAATAGTCCTCGTGGCTGCCATTTTATCACCCATTCCAAAGTTACACTTTCTATGTTACGTAGGTATCTTAATGCTAACAGTATTGATACTATCCATGTTGTTGATGATACCTCCATAGGTCTAAAAGAGTTCTATTATAAATAATGTGTTATCGTCCCCTACATCTTCGCAATCCTAAATTTGATTTCGATAAACGAGTTGATAAGGAATTTATTGATGTTCCTTGCGGCAAATGTTGTCAATGCCGTAACAGAGCAGTCAATGATTTAGTTATACGTTGTAATGATGAGCGTATCTACTGCGAATCAAAAGGCGGTGGAATGCTCTTCCTCACTCTTACCTATAATAATAAGTCCATTCCTACTATTGACGGTCAATATGGTTTCTCCCTTAAAGATATTCAAAATTTCAAAAAACGAGTTGCAATTCATATTTCACGTAGATTAGGTATTGAGTACAATAAAGATAGATATATTAAGTTCTTCTGCGTGTGCGAGTATGGTGGTATCACTCACCGTCCTCACTATCATTTATTAGTTTTCTGGTCTTTCCCTTTGGCTGACTGGAAGATTAAGTATATCATACATCAAGACTGGAAGTTCGGTTTTATCTCGTTCGGTTCTCATGGAGGAAAGGTTCTTAACTCATTCGCTGCAACTAAATATGTATGTAAGTATATTCGTAAAGACGCTCAGTCTATAGATGATGAAAATAAACTTCCTGTATCTATTCGCCCTTTCTCACCTCTTATCTCCAATGGTATAGGCTTTCACGTTTATAAGGATTTGAGCGAAAATGATATATTAGATCTCTTCCGCAAAGGTTCTGTTACTCTCTTGGACGCTGCAGGTAACCCTAAAGTATTTCCTATTCCTACGTATTACAGGCGTAAACTACTCTACGATGTTTCCCGTATCTACTCCGTTGATAGTTCTCAGTTCGCAGACACAGAGCAATTAGACGGTGTAAACCGATTTTACTATGATGTTCAGTCTATGCAGTTGCAAGAGTTCTCTCAGGAGTACAAGGATTTCATTTCCTCCGCTAAACTCTATGATATTAAAACCAATTTTCGCCTTATTCCGAAAAAGATATACTATAATGTCCGTTATGAGGAGTATCTTAATGCAGTTAAGTACACTCGTGACGCTCTTATTAACATATTGTCTAACTTCAAAAACATTATTACTGATGACAAAATTTCTCAAATTGCTGCGGTTACTCATAGAAATTATCCCGCTGCTCATGTCCTTTTTCAATCTCTGCAAGCCGAGTTCAGGTGCGACAACTTCACCCGAGCCAGTGAGTACATCGGATTCTACCGATGCCGATTCATTCCCTATACCCTCTTAGCACATGATAACAATTTCCATGCTGCCACTGTTCATCGCATCTGATTACTCGGAAAATGAACTACAGTTCGTCGGTATTAACTATACCCTTGAGTATTGCTATCACGCTCTATATCTCTATAACTACTTCGTTGGTATGATAGCCGAAACCGACTATCAGTCTTATAAAAATTTAGTTTATCACTTAAAGTATTATGATAATGACTACTCGTTCTAAGTCTCTATTTAGCAAAATTGCTCCTGATGTTGTACATTACGAGCATGATGAGTTTAAACCCTCCGTTCGTCTCCGTTCTCTTCCTGATGGTAAGGTTGAGAAGATTCTTGAAGATGAAATTGTAATTCCGCAGGATATTTCTGCCGATTCCCTCTCTGTTGAATCTCTCAACCAAGCAGGAGTTAACCTCGTTGAAGTTCCTTCAAACTTCATAAATCCTACCGTCGAGCAGCAGACTGCAAACGGTCTAACGATTGTTAATCAAATTGTAAATTCCGAGTACGCTGCACATGCTGCACCTGTTCCTGAACCATCTCCAACTCCAACTCCAACTCCTAACGAATAAATATTATGGCATTTCCTCAGTTATTTAGTACAAAAGTCGCTGCGTCTAATCGCAGCAAGTTTGACCTCTCATGTCAGCATATCACTACTTCCGATTTTGGTGTTATGCAGGCAAGTTATTGCAATCAGGTCGTCCCAGGTGACACCTTTGATATTCGCCAACAGTCGTTCTGCCGTCTCGCTCCATTGGCATTCCCTACATTCGGTCGTGCTGATGTTGAGTCACGTGCTTTCTATGTACCTTATCGTATCGTTTGGGCAGGTACAGAATCATTCTTCACAGGCAAGCCTTATACTGATGAGAACGGTATTTCTCACAATCTTGAACGAGTTCCTCATCTTACGAATGAACAGTTCATGACTATTTTCAGTGACCCTGCTTATGGATTCTGTTCTGTCGCTACTTCCGAAGGCTTTGATTTCGCTCTCCGTCGTGGTGATGGTTCAACTGACTTTTTTTATTGGACATCAAAAGGACGTCGTTTCTACAACCTCTTGATACAACTCGGTTATGCCTTTAACTTTAATACAGCGGATAAAACTCCTCTTTCACTTCTGCCTTACCTCTGCTGGTCACGTATTATCGTTGATTGGTATCTTAACCCACGTTTTGATTACCTCCATACACTCGAATCCATCTTCAAGAAGTTCGATTCTATGTCGGGTTCTTGGTCAATTATTGATGTCATTACCCTCTTCGATTACAACTATAAGTTGTACGATTCCGATTACTTCAACAGTTCATGGCAATATCCTAATGATTCAGGTAGCGTAAATCGTAATGAGAACATTGTTGTTGTTGGTAATGGTGGCTCAGGTCGTACATTCCAAGTAAGTAATAACAACCAGTCAACTCTTCTCCATCGTGGTGATTCTAATGGTGCACTTTATGACTTATCTGCTGCTTCTATCGCTCTTCTTCAGTCACTTCAGCGATTTGTCACACGCAACAATCTCGTAGGTACACGCTATATTGATCAAATGCTTGCCCGTTTCGGTGTCCGTCTCACCGATGCCGTTGTACAGCGTTCACAGTACATCGGTAGTCTCTCTTCTCCTGTACAGATTTCCGATGTCATGACTACCGCAAACACAGATTCAGGTTCTACCGGTGATTTCACAGGTAAAGGAGTTTCGTTCGGCAATGGTCACTACCACATTGAGAGCAAGGAATACGGTATGGTTATCGTTGTGACTACTATTGTACCAAAAGCAGGCTATTATCAGGGTCGCAAACGTTTTGTAACTTACAAAAACCGACTTGATTTCTATACTCCGGAATTCGACTGTATGAATATGCAGGCTATTCGTAATGATGAACTCTTTGCAGATTTCACCGATGGTCGTACATACGCTGCAGCACAATCTTATGGTGGTCGTCCTGATGGTATCTTTGGCTATGTACCTCGTTATTCGGATTGCAAGATTGCTCTCGATACCCTCTCGGGTGATTTCCGTATTAAGTCACGCAATGCTCAGTTGTCAGCATTCCATCTCCTGCGAGTTCTTGACGAGCCATCATCTTCACACCCTCTCGCTAATAACAGTAACTTCGGTATGCTAACCAATTCCGAGCGAGCAAACTATGACCGTATCTTCCAAGCAGGTATTGGAACTGATGAGACTCAGTATGACCATTTCTACCTTATCCATGATTTTAACGTGACTGCACATCGCAACATGAAGTCACTTAGTGAAGCCTACGAGGACGAGCATGAGAAAGGTCGTGATGTTTCGGTACGTCCAAACGGTGTTAAATTCTAATGTTTAATTTGGGCAGAGTTTTTCTGCCCTTTATTTTTAATACTATGTCTATAAAATCCGGTACATCATACGCTGCGGATAGAGAGTATGAAGGCAATAAAGAGACGAATTCTACTAATGTCTCGATTAATGAAGATAACAATAAAGCCAATCGAGAGTTAGCGGAGTATCAAAATCAATGGAATCTCGAGCAATGGAATCGTGAAAATCAATATAATTCCCCTGCTAATCAACTTCGTTTATTACGTCAGGCAGGTATGAATCCTTTATTTGTCGATTCAAAGTTATCTCAGGCTCAACAGTTATCTTCTGCTGACCTCGCTAATCAGCAGGCTATTCAAATTGACAATCCCGCCAAAGGTCAAGGACAATTAGCCGTTGGTGCTGATGCAAACAAGGTTGCAGCGGTTACTAATGCTCTTAATCAAATCAGTTCAACTGCACAGAACCTCTCAAGCAATGCTGCGTCTATCTATGCTACCAATATGCAGTATGAGACAAATAAGGCTGCTCAAGGTATTCAGGGTCGTTTGGTAGATAGTCAAATTCAGGCTCAAAGATATAATAATCTTCGTGCTCTTGCTGATACTAAAAAGACCCTTGGAGATGATAAACGTGCAGATTCTCTCTTGCCTTATCAAGCCGAGGCTCTTGACGCACAGAGCAAGCAGCAATATGCTGCAGCAGATAATTCTAATATCAATACTGAGGTAATAAAGCAGTCTTTTGGCGCTTTGGTTGCTAAACCTGCCGCAGAAGTTAAGGAGATTCTCTCTCGCATTAGAGTAAACCTTGCTGATTCTCGGAATAAGGAATGGGACGCAGGTATTAAAGAAAATTATGGCTTTGATCCAAAATCTTCTTCTCTCCTGCAAGCAATCGCTACAATGGCTGCTACTAACCCAACTGGTGCAAGTTCCTGCATTGATAATATCATTCAAACTATTGACAACTCTGGTCACAAGTTCTTTGGTGAGGAAGAGTTTGAAAAGATGAAACAGGACATCGGTAATATCATCAACAATCCTATTTCAACCCTTATAGGTGGTGCAAAATCCTTCGACATTGGTACAGGTGGAATCATAAGATAAACCACCGTTATGCTTTGCTCGGTGGCTACCCAACTTGATATTTATGTACGAGTGACACAGGTCACCCTTTATGGCGCAAGCGGTAAGAGATTAAACGTTCTCTCTCGCTTGCGTCTTATTATCCCTCTAGGCAACCGCTATGGAGCGTAGGACAATATTATAATAACATATAAAGTAAATTAAAACTCTATATATAGTACATATATATAAAAATAAAACACCTCTTATCCCCCCAAACACCACATACCACATACACTACAAGTATCATACTATTACGCTGCGTGCGCGTGCGTTACGCGCGTGCGCGTATCGTATCAAGAGAGCACTCTTCTCGTTGTATCGGCGTGAGTAAACGTAATACAAATCGTAGTGCCTTAATCGTGGTTACTTCTTACGGACAGAGACAGAATCACGTTCGCAACGGAGTGAGAACATGATTCCGAACTGTCCTAAAACTACACATTGCGCTAGCCCTGTAACTTCCACGCTCCTAAGTTGCCTGAAAACGCTGCGTGCAACCCTCGCCCCCCCCGAGGTGCTGCACATATATTCACATTATACATATATAAAAATATACTGAATAAGTCAAAATAGTATAAAAGTGCATTGTAAATGGAACGACATAACGTATCGCTGCATTTTTTATACGAAAAAATTTTGACATAACAGCTATTATTGTTATTTTTGCGCCCAAAATTTATAAAATGAAACCTCATTACAAAAGATATGTTACCTCCGATGGTCAAATTATCGGTGCATTCAGTATTCAGCAGGCATTATATCAGATATATGACAAGTATGTTAGTGATGATGTTCTCGCCCAAAATGGCTTAGTGCTCTTCGACTACGACCAAGAATTCCCATTTTAATATGATTACAAAAGAAATTACCCTCCACCGTCTAGAAATGAATTCTCTTGAAACCGTTGGTTACATCGAGCATGACGGTCTTTTCCTTGCATTTACTCTTGAACCAAGCAAGGACAACAAAAAACACCCTTGTATCCCTTTCGGTACATTTAATATCATGCGTGAATATCCATCTTCTAAATTCGGTATGGTACCTGCTTTGATGAAAGTTCCTTATCGTACTGGCATACTTATCCACTCTGGGAATGTTGCGTCTCAGTCTCAAGGCTGCATATTAGTCGGTGATGATATAGAAAATAGTCCTCGTGGCTGCCATTTTATCACCCATTCCAAAGTTACACTTTCTATGTTACGTAGGTATCTTAATGCTAACAGTATTGATACTATCCATGTTGTTGATGATACCTCCATAGGTCTAAAAGAGTTCTATTATAAATAATGTGTTATCGTCCCCTACATCTTCGCAATCCTAAATTTGATTTCGATAAACGAGTTGATAAGGAATTTATTGATGTTCCTTGCGGCAAATGTTGTCAATGCCGTAACAGAGCAGTCAATGATTTAGTTATACGTTGTAATGATGAGCGTATCTACTGCGAATCAAAAGGCGGTGGAATGCTCTTCCTCACTCTTACCTATAATAATAAGTCCATTCCTACTATTGACGGTCAATATGGTTTCTCCCTTAAAGATATTCAAAATTTCAAAAAACGAGTTGCAATTCATATTTCACGTAGATTAGGTATTGAGTACAATAAAGATAGATATATTAAGTTCTTCTGCGTGTGCGAGTATGGTGGTATCACTCACCGTCCTCACTATCATTTATTAGTTTTCTGGTCTTTCCCTTTGGCTGACTGGAAGATTAAGTATATCATACATCAAGACTGGAAGTTCGGTTTTATCTCGTTCGGTTCTCATGGAGGAAAGGTTCTTAACTCATTCGCTGCAACTAAATATGTATGTAAGTATATTCGTAAAGACGCTCAGTCTATAGATGATGAAAATAAACTTCCTGTATCTATTCGCCCTTTCTCACCTCTTATCTCCAATGGTATAGGCTTTCACGTTTATAAGGATTTGAGCGAAAATGATATATTAGATCTCTTCCGCAAAGGTTCTGTTACTCTCTTGGACGCTGCAGGTAACCCTAAAGTATTTCCTATTCCTACGTATTACAGGCGTAAACTACTCTACGATGTTTCCCGTATCTACTCCGTTGATAGTTCTCAGTTCGCAGACACAGAGCAATTAGACGGTGTAAACCGATTTTACTATGATGTTCAGTCTATGCAGTTGCAAGAGTTCTCTCAGGAGTACAAGGATTTCATTTCCTCCGCTAAACTCTATGATATTAAAACCAATTTTCGCCTTATTCCGAAAAAGATATACTATAATGTCCGTTATGAGGAGTATCTTAATGCAGTTAAGTACACTCGTGACGCTCTTATTAACATATTGTCTAACTTCAAAAACATTATTACTGATGACAAAATTTCTCAAATTGCTGCGGTTACTCATAGAAATTATCCCGCTGCTCATGTCCTTTTTCAATCTCTGCAAGCCGAGTTCAGGTGCGACAACTTCACCCGAGCCAGTGAGTACATCGGATTCTACCGATGCCGATTCATTCCCTATACCCTCTTAGCACATGATAACAATTTCCATGCTGCCACTGTTCATGCATCTGATTACTCGGAAAATGAACTACAGTTCGTCGGTATTAACTATACCCTTGAGTATTGCTATCACGCTCTATATCTCTATAACTACTTCGTTGGTATGATAGCCGAAACCGACTATCAGTCTTATAAAAATTTAGTTTATCACTTAAAGTATTATGATAATGACTACTCGTTCTAAGTCTCTATTTAGCAAAATTGCTCCTGATGTTGTACATTACGAGCATGATGAGTTTAAACCCTCCGTTCGTCTCCGTTCTCTTCCTGATGGTAAGGTTGAGAAGATTCTTGAAGATGAAATTGTAATTCCGCAGGATATTTCTGCCGATTCCCTCTCTGTTGAATCTCTCAACCAAGCAGGAGTTAACCTCGTTGAAGTTCCTTCAAACTTCATAAATCCTACCGTCGAGCAGCAGACTGCAAACGGTCTAACGATTGTTAATCAAATTGTAAATTCCGAGTACGCTGCACATGCTGCACCTGTTCCTGAACCATCTCCAACTCCAACTCCAACTCCTAACGAATAAATATTATGGCATTTCCTCAGTTATTTAGTACAAAAGTCGCTGCGTCTAATCGCAGCAAGTTTGACCTCTCATGTCAGCATATCACTACTTCCGATTTTGGTGTTATGCAGGCAAGTTATTGCAATCAGGTCGTCCCAGGTGACACCTTTGATATTCGCCAACAGTCGTTCTGCCGTCTCGCTCCATTGGCATTCCCTACATTCGGTCGTGCTGATGTTGAGTCACGTGCTTTCTATGTACCTTATCGTATCGTTTGGGCAGGTACAGAATCATTCTTCACAGGCAAGCCTTATACTGATGAGAACGGTATTTCTCACAATCTTGAACGAGTTCCTCATCTTACGAATGAACAGTTCATGACTATTTTCAGTGACCCTGCTTATGGATTCTGTTCTGTCGCTACTTCCGAAGGCTTTGATTTCGCTCTCCGTCGTGGTGATGGTTCAACTGACTTTTTTTATTGGACATCAAAAGGACGTCGTTTCTACAACCTCTTGATACAACTCGGTTATGCCTTTAACTTTAATACAGCGGATAAAACTCCTCTTTCACTTCTGCCTTACCTCTGCTGGTCACGTATTATCGTTGATTGGTATCTTAACCCACGTTTTGATTACCTCCATACACTCGAATCCATCTTCAAGAAGTTCGATTCTATGTCGGGTTCTTGGTCAATTATTGATGTCATTACCCTCTTCGATTACAACTATAAGTTGTACGATTCCGATTACTTCAACAGTTCATGGCAATATCCTAATGATTCAGGTAGCGTAAATCGTAATGAGAACATTGTTGTTGTTGGTAATGGTGGCTCAGGTCGTACATTCCAAGTAAGTAATAACAACCAGTCAACTCTTCTCCATCGTGGTGATTCTAATGGTGCACTTTATGACTTATCTGCTGCTTCTATCGCTCTTCTTCAGTCACTTCAGCGATTTGTCACACGCAACAATCTCGTAGGTACACGCTATATTGATCAAATGCTTGCCCGTTTCGGTGTCCGTCTCACCGATGCCGTTGTACAGCGTTCACAGTACATCGGTAGTCTCTCTTCTCCTGTACAGATTTCCGATGTCATGACTACCGCAAACACAGATTCAGGTTCTACCGGTGATTTCACAGGTAAAGGAGTTTCGTTCGGCAATGGTCACTACCACATTGAGAGCAAGGAATACGGTATGGTTATCGTTGTGACTACTATTGTACCAAAAGCAGGCTATTATCAGGGTCGCAAACGTTTTGTAACTTACAAAAACCGACTTGATTTCTATACTCCGGAATTCGACTGTATGAATATGCAGGCTATTCGTAATGATGAACTCTTTGCAGATTTCACCGATGGTCGTACATACGCTGCAGCACAATCTTATGGTGGTCGTCCTGATGGTATCTTTGGCTATGTACCTCGTTATTCGGATTGCAAGATTGCTCTCGATACCCTCTCGGGTGATTTCCGTATTAAGTCACGCAATGCTCAGTTGTCAGCATTCCATCTCCTGCGAGTTCTTGACGAGCCATCATCTTCACACCCTCTCGCTAATAACAGTAACTTCGGTATGCTAACCAATTCCGAGCGAGCAAACTATGACCGTATCTTCCAAGCAGGTATTGGAACTGATGAGACTCAGTATGACCATTTCTACCTTATCCATGATTTTAACGTGACTGCACATCGCAACATGAAGTCACTTAGTGAAGCCTACGAGGACGAGCATGAGAAAGGTCGTGATGTTTCGGTACGTCCAAACGGTGTTAAATTCTAATGTTTAATTTGGGCAGAGTTTTTCTGCCCTTTATTTTTAATACTATGTCTATAAAATCCGGTACATCATACGCTGCGGATAGAGAGTATGAAGGCAATAAAGAGACGAATTCTACTAATGTCTCGATTAATGAAGATAACAATAAAGCCAATCGAGAGTTAGCGGAGTATCAAAATCAATGGAATCTCGAGCAATGGAATCGTGAAAATCAATATAATTCCCCTGCTAATCAACTTCGTTTATTACGTCAGGCAGGTATGAATCCTTTATTTGTCGATTCAAAGTTATCTCAGGCTCAACAGTTATCTTCTGCTGACCTCGCTAATCAGCAGGCTATTCAAATTGACAATCCCGCCAAAGGTCAAGGACAATTAGCCGTTGGTGCTGATGCAAACAAGGTTGCAGCGGTTACTAATGCTCTTAATCAAATCAGTTCAACTGCACAGAACCTCTCAAGCAATGCTGCGTCTATCTATGCTACCAATATGCAGTATGAGACAAATAAGGCTGCTCAAGGTATTCAGGGTCGTTTGGTAGATAGTCAAATTCAGGCTCAAAGATATAATAATCTTCGTGCTCTTGCTGATACTAAAAAGACCCTTGGAGATGATAAACGTGCAGATTCTCTCTTGCCTTATCAAGCCGAGGCTCTTGACGCACAGAGCAAGCAGCAATATGCTGCAGCAGATAATTCTAATATCAATACTGAGGTAATAAAGCAGTCTTTTGGCGCTTTGGTTGCTAAACCTGCCGCAGAAGTTAAGGAGATTCTCTCTCGCATTAGAGTAAACCTTGCTGATTCTCGGAATAAGGAATGGGACGCAGGTATTAAAGAAAATTATGGCTTTGATCCAAAATCTTCTTCTCTCCTGCAAGCAATCGCTACAATGGCTGCTACTAACCCAACTGGTGCAAGTTCCTGCATTGATAATATCATTCAAACTATTGACAACTCTGGTCACAAGTTCTTTGGTGAGGAAGAGTTTGAAAAGATGAAACAGGACATCGGTAATATCATCAACAATCCTATTTCAACCCTTATAGGTGGTGCAAAATCCTTCGACATTGGTACAGGTGGAATCATAAGATAAACCACCGTTATGCTTTGCTCGGTGGCTACCCAACTTGATATTTATGTACGAGTGACACAGGTCACCCTTTATGGCGCAAGCGGTAAGAGATTAAACGTTCTCTCTCGCTTGCGTCTTATTATCCCTCTAGGCAACCGCTATGGAGCGTAGGACAATATTATAATAACATATAAAGTAAATTAAAACTCTATATATAGTACATATATATAAAAATAAAACACCTCTTATCCCCCAAACACCACATACCACATACACTACAAGTATCATACTATTACGCTGCGTGCGCGTGCGTTACGCGCGTGCGCGTATCGTATCAAGAGAGCACTCTTCTCGTTGTATCGGCGTGAGTAAACGTAATACAAATCGTAGTGCCTTAATCGTGGTTACTTCTTACGGACAGAGACAGAATCACGTTCGCAACGGAGTGAGAACATGATTCCGAACTGTCCTAAAACTACACATTGCGCTAGCCCTGTAACTTCCACGCTCCTAAGTTGCCTGAAAACGCTGCGTGCAACCCTCGCCCCCCCCGAGGTGCTGCACATATATTCACATTATACATATATAAAAATATACTGAATAAGTCAAAATAGTATAAAAGTGCATTGTAAATGGAACGACATAACGTATCGCTGCATTTTTTATACGAAAAAATTTTGACATAACAGCTATTATTGTTATTTTTGCGCCAAAATTTATAAAATGAAACCTCATTACAAAAGATATGTTACCTCCGATGGTCAAATTATCGGTGCATTCAGTATTCAGCAGGCATTATATCAGATATATGACAAGTATGTTAGTGATGATGTTCTCGCCCAAAATGGCTTAGTGCTCTTCGACTACGACCAAGAATTCCCATTTTAATATGATTACAAAAGAAATTACCCTCCACCGTCTAGAAATGAATTCTCTTGAAACCGTTGGTTACATCGAGCATGACGGTCTTTTCCTTGCATTTACTCTTGAACCAAGCAAGGACAACAAAAAACACCCTTGTATCCCTTTCGGTACATTTAATATCATGCGTGAATATCCATCTTCTAAATTCGGTATGGTACCTGCTTTGATGAAAGTTCCTTATCGTACTGGCATACTTATCCACTCTGGGAATGTTGCGTCTCAGTCTCAAGGCTGCATATTAGTCGGTGATGATATAGAAAATAGTCCTCGTGGCTGCCATTTTATCACCCATTCCAAAGTTACACTTTCTATGTTACGTAGGTATCTTAATGCTAACAGTATTGATACTATCCATGTTGTTGATGATACCTCCATAGGTCTAAAAGAGTTCTATTATAAATAATGTGTTATCGTCCCCTACATCTTCGCAATCCTAAATTTGATTTCGATAAACGAGTTGATAAGGAATTTATTGATGTTCCTTGCGGCAAATGTTGTCAATGCCGTAACAGAGCAGTCAATGATTTAGTTATACGTTGTAATGATGAGCGTATCTACTGCGAATCAAAAGGCGGTGGAATGCTCTTCCTCACTCTTACCTATAATAATAAGTCCATTCCTACTATTGACGGTCAATATGGTTTCTCCCTTAAAGATATTCAAAATTTCAAAAAACGAGTTGCAATTCATATTTCACGTAGATTAGGTATTGAGTACAATAAAGATAGATATATTAAGTTCTTCTGCGTGTGCGAGTATGGTGGTATCACTCACCGTCCTCACTATCATTTATTAGTTTTCTGGTCTTTCCCTTTGGCTGACTGGAAGATTAAGTATATCATACATCAAGACTGGAAGTTCGGTTTTATCTCGTTCGGTTCTCATGGAGGAAAGGTTCTTAACTCATTCGCTGCAACTAAATATGTATGTAAGTATATTCGTAAAGACGCTCAGTCTATAGATGATGAAAATAAACTTCCTGTATCTATTCGCCCTTTCTCACCTCTTATCTCCAATGGTATAGGCTTTCACGTTTATAAGGATTTGAGCGAAAATGATATATTAGATCTCTTCCGCAAAGGTTCTGTTACTCTCTTGGACGCTGCAGGTAACCCTAAAGTATTTCCTATTCCTACGTATTACAGGCGTAAACTACTCTACGATGTTTCCCGTATCTACTCCGTTGATAGTTCTCAGTTCGCAGACACAGAGCAATTAGACGGTGTAAACCGATTTTACTATGATGTTCAGTCTATGCAGTTGCAAGAGTTCTCTCAGGAGTACAAGGATTTCATTTCCTCCGCTAAACTCTATGATATTAAAACCAATTTTCGCCTTATTCCGAAAAAGATATACTATAATGTCCGTTATGAGGAGTATCTTAATGCAGTTAAGTACACTCGTGACGCTCTTATTAACATATTGTCTAACTTCAAAAACATTATTACTGATGACAAAATTTCTCAAATTGCTGCGGTTACTCATAGAAATTATCCCGCTGCTCATGTCCTTTTTCAATCTCTGCAAGCCGAGTTCAGGTGCGACAACTTCACCCGAGCCAGTGAGTACATCGGATTCTACCGATGCCGATTCATTCCCTATACCCTCTTAGCACATGATAACAATTTCCATGCTGCCACTGTTCATGCATCTGATTACTCGGAAAATGAACTACAGTTCGTCGGTATTAACTATACCCTTGAGTATTGCTATCACGCTCTATATCTCTATAACTACTTCGTTGGTATGATAGCCGAAACCGACTATCAGTCTTATAAAAATTTAGTTTATCACTTAAAGTATTATGATAATGACTACTCGTTCTAAGTCTCTATTTAGCAAAATTGCTCCTGATGTTGTACATTACGAGCATGATGAGTTTAAACCCTCCGTTCGTCTCCGTTCTCTTCCTGATGGTAAGGTTGAGAAGATTCTTGAAGATGAAATTGTAATTCCGCAGGATATTTCTGCCGATTCCCTCTCTGTTGAATCTCTCAACCAAGCAGGAGTTAACCTCGTTGAAGTTCCTTCAAACTTCATAAATCCTACCGTCGAGCAGCAGACTGCAAACGGTCTAACGATTGTTAATCAAATTGTAAATTCCGAGTACGCTGCACATGCTGCACCTGTTCCTGAACCATCTCCAACTCCAACTCCAACTCCTAACGAATAAATATTATGGCATTTCCTCAGTTATTTAGTACAAAAGTCGCTGCGTCTAATCGCAGCAAGTTTGACCTCTCATGTCAGCATATCACTACTTCCGATTTTGGTGTTATGCAGGCAAGTTATTGCAATCAGGTCGTCCCAGGTGACACCTTTGATATTCGCCAACAGTCGTTCTGCCGTCTCGCTCCATTGGCATTCCCTACATTCGGTCGTGCTGATGTTGAGTCACGTGCTTTCTATGTACCTTATCGTATCGTTTGGGCAGGTACAGAATCATTCTTCACAGGCAAGCCTTATACTGATGAGAACGGTATTTCTCACAATCTTGAACGAGTTCCTCATCTTACGAATGAACAGTTCATGACTATTTTCAGTGACCCTGCTTATGGATTCTGTTCTGTCGCTACTTCCGAAGGCTTTGATTTCGCTCTCCGTCGTGGTGATGGTTCAACTGACTTTTTTTATTGGACATCAAAAGGACGTCGTTTCTACAACCTCTTGATACAACTCGGTTATGCCTTTAACTTTAATACAGCGGATAAAACTCCTCTTTCACTTCTGCCTTACCTCTGCTGGTCACGTATTATCGTTGATTGGTATCTTAACCCACGTTTTGATTACCTCCATACACTCGAATCCATCTTCAAGAAGTTCGATTCTATGTCGGGTTCTTGGTCAATTATTGATGTCATTACCCTCTTCGATTACAACTATAAGTTGTACGATTCCGATTACTTCAACAGTTCATGGCAATATCCTAATGATTCAGGTAGCGTAAATCGTAATGAGAACATTGTTGTTGTTGGTAATGGTGGCTCAGGTCGTACATTCCAAGTAAGTAATAACAACCAGTCAACTCTTCTCCATCGTGGTGATTCTAATGGTGCACTTTATGACTTATCTGCTGCTTCTATCGCTCTTCTTCAGTCACTTCAGCGATTTGTCACACGCAACAATCTCGTAGGTACACGCTATATTGATCAAATGCTTGCCCGTTTCGGTGTCCGTCTCACCGATGCCGTTGTACAGCGTTCACAGTACATCGGTAGTCTCTCTTCTCCTGTACAGATTTCCGATGTCATGACTACCGCAAACACAGATTCAGGTTCTACCGGTGATTTCACAGGTAAAGGAGTTTCGTTCGGCAATGGTCACTACCACATTGAGAGCAAGGAATACGGTATGGTTATCGTTGTGACTACTATTGTACCAAAAGCAGGCTATTATCAGGGTCGCAAACGTTTTGTAACTTACAAAAACCGACTTGATTTCTATACTCCGGAATTCGACTGTATGAATATGCAGGCTATTCGTAATGATGAACTCTTTGCAGATTTCACCGATGGTCGTACATACGCTGCAGCACAATCTTATGGTGGTCGTCCTGATGGTATCTTTGGCTATGTACCTCGTTATTCGGATTGCAAGATTGCTCTCGATACCCTCTCGGGTGATTTCCGTATTAAGTCACGCAATGCTCAGTTGTCAGCATTCCATCTCCTGCGAGTTCTTGACGAGCCATCATCTTCACACCCTCTCGCTAATAACAGTAACTTCGGTATGCTAACCAATTCCGAGCGAGCAAACTATGACCGTATCTTCCAAGCAGGTATTGGAACTGATGAGACTCAGTATGACCATTTCTACCTTATCCATGATTTTAACGTGACTGCACATCGCAACATGAAGTCACTTAGTGAAGCCTACGAGGACGAGCATGAGAAAGGTCGTGATGTTTCGGTACGTCCAAACGGTGTTAAATTCTAATGTTTAATTTGGGCAGAGTTTTTCTGCCCTTTATTTTTAATACTATGTCTATAAAATCCGGTACATCATACGCTGCGGATAGAGAGTATGAAGGCAATAAAGAGACGAATTCTACTAATGTCTCGATTAATGAAGATAACAATAAAGCCAATCGAGAGTTAGCGGAGTATCAAAATCAATGGAATCTCGAGCAATGGAATCGTGAAAATCAATATAATTCCCTGCTAATCAACTTCGTTTATTACGTCAGGCAGGTATGAATCCTTTATTTGTCGATTCAAAGTTATCTCAGGCTCAACAGTTATCTTCTGCTGACCTCGCTAATCAGCAGGCTATTCAAATTGACAATCCCGCCAAAGGTCAAGGACAATTAGCCGTTGGTGCTGATGCAAACAAGGTTGCAGCGGTTACTAATGCTCTTAATCAAATCAGTTCAACTGCACAGAACCTCTCAAGCAATGCTGCGTCTATCTATGCTACCAATATGCAGTATGAGACAAATAAGGCTGCTCAAGGTATTCAGGGTCGTTTGGTAGATAGTCAAATTCAGGCTCAAAGATATAATAATCTTCGTGCTCTTGCTGATACTAAAAAGACCCTTGGAGATGATAAACGTGCAGATTCTCTCTTGCCTTATCAAGCCGAGGCTCTTGACGCACAGAGCAAGCAGCAATATGCTGCAGCAGATAATTCTAATATCAATACTGAGGTAATAAAGCAGTCTTTTGGCGCTTTGGTTGCTAAACCTGCCGCAGAAGTTAAGGAGATTCTCTCTCGCATTAGAGTAAACCTTGCTGATTCTCGGAATAAGGAATGGGACGCAGGTATTAAAGAAAATTATGGCTTTGATCCAAAATCTTCTTCTCTCCTGCAAGCAATCGCTACAATGGCTGCTACTAACCCAACTGGTGCAAGTTCCTGCATTGATAATATCATTCAAACTATTGACAACTCTGGTCACAAGTTCTTTGGTGAGGAAGAGTTTGAAAAGATGAAACAGGACATCGGTAATATCATCAACAATCCTATTTCAAC